GCTATTCCCGCTCACCCTCATCACTTTTAAGATATCTGGCTGCTCAACCCTGTTTCGCAGCCAGTTACCTTAAATTTACGAGATTAGCGGGTATAGCTCATTAACCCACTACTATAAACACAAATCACCAAAGTGATTCAAAAAAATAAAATTGAAATTTAAAAAAATAATATACTAAAATTATAAAGGCCATGGCTGATTATTCGAGTTTATCAATAGCTGAATTAAAACAAAAATTCAACCAGAAAAAGAAATTATTAAGAAAAAATTATAAAGAAAAACTAATTCATGATATTAGAAAATTAGATCAACTCAATCAAAAAATAAAAAAAGGTGTTAATATCGAAAAAGAATGGAAAAATAAAAAGAAATCAAAACCCAAAAAGATAAAATCTTTTGAAGAATATTTTCAAGAGTGCATTAAAAATAAAAAGATTCCAGCAGATACCCCTCCTTATTTTAGAAAGGCCCTTGAGAGAGCTATCAAAGAGCATAACCAAGGACTTGAGAAAGTGAAATCAGCTTTAGAAGATTTTGCTAGCAAATACACAATAAAGGGGGAGCCTGGTATTACTCCTCTGCAATTTTTCCAAAATAAGAAAACTATTCTCAAAAATTTTATCAAAAATCATAGAAATACAAAAGTAAAATTTGTCTTGGTTTGTATGATGGGAAAAACGGAAGGTGATTATAAACTAAGTTTTGAAGTTCAAGACAGAGCGTTTTTTCATTCAGAAACTTATATCAATCTTGTATCAACTGATGTAAAACTTTTGCTTAAAAAAATTATTCGTGACATCACAGAAAAGATCATAGTCTTTCAACAAAATGGTAGTGGCTGGTATTTCAAAGATGTTATTCAACTTGAAATTCATACTGTTGAATTTGATCCTTTGAAAGGTTCCTCTTACATACCTCTTCCAGATTGGATTATGAGAAAAAAAGCAATAGTAAGCATCAGAAATAAAGATGATAAATGTTTCTTGTGGAGCATACTCCGTTATCTTCATCCAAGAGAGAGGAATGATTGTCGTTTAGCAGATCTAAAACAATATGAGCATGAGATCAAAATTCCAAAAGGATTCGTTTTTCCGGTCAAAACCAATGATATAACTAAATTTGAAAATGCTAACCCTAACTTACCAGGCATCAATGTATTCTCAATTAATTCTGACAAAAAGTTTTATACTCTAAGGTTGGCTTTACGTGATCCTCAAAATTCAATAGACTTATTTCTTTATGAAGAGGATGGGAAATGTCATTACTCACTGATTAAAAATTTTTCTCGTCTTTTAAGATCACAGATTACAAAAAGAACAGATGAACCAATTCATATTTGTAAAAGATGTCTCAATGGTTTCACAAAAGATTCAATATTACAAAGACATATTTTTTACTGTAAGAAAAACGGGACAGCTTATGTTAGAATGCCAGAACCAGGAAAAACGACTTTAAAATTTGTAAATCATCACAAACAAATTCCATTTCCTTTTGTAGCTTATGCGGATTTTGAGTGTTTTACTAAACCAATAAATACTTGCTGCCCCAATCCAGAAGATTCTTATGAGTATAACTATCAAAAACACGAACCATCAGGATTTTGTATTTTTATTAAAGGAGTTGTTGATGAAAAAATAAAGCCAATCACTTATACTAAAGAAGAGGATGATGATGATGTAGCAAAAATATTTGTAGAAAAACTCACAGAAGCAACTAGAGCAATATATAACGATTACTATCGAAGACCAAAACCTCTTAAACTTACCCAAAACCAACAAAAATTATTTGATAAGGACAAATTTTGCCATATTTGCCACACAGAATTATTGGATGATAGAGTCAGGGATCACTGTCATTTTACAGGTCAGTATAGAGGTGCTGCTCATAACAGTTGTAATCTCAAGTGTAGAAAACCATTAGTACTCCCAGTTATATTCCATAATCTTCAAGGGTATGATGCTCATTTGTTTATAAAGCAACTGGCAAGCTTACCAGGAGAATTTCAATGCATACCTTCAACTGAAGAGAAATATATATCATTCTCTAAAAAAAATAAAGTTGATGAATACAGATCTAGAAAAACTGGAGATATGGTTCCATTATATTTTGAAATTCGTTTTATAGACTCTTTCAAATTTCTTCAAACATCTCTTGCAAAACTTGTAGAAAATTTGGAACCAACAGACTTTATAAACACAAAAAGAGAGTTTAAGCAACATACTGAATTGCTAACCCGCAAAGGAGTCTATCCTTATGATTACGTTTCAAATCTAAAAAAGTTTTCTGAAACACAATTACCGCCAAAAGAAGCGTTTTATTCAAAGTTAAATGACGAAGACATAAGCGAAGATGATTACAAACACGCAATAAACGTGTGGAATACTTTTAATTGTAAAACAATCAGAGATTATCACGATCTTTATCTTAAGTCTGATGTCCTACTATTAGCCGATGTGTTTGAAAACTTCAGGAAAACTTGTATGAAACATTACGGTCTTGATCCAGCTCATTATTATACATCCCCCGGTCTTGCTTGGGATGCTTGTCTCAAAGAAACAAAACAAGAACTACAACTACTTGATGATTACGATATGCTAATGATGTTTGAAATGGGAATTCGTGGTGGTATATCTCATATATCAAAGAGATATGCAGAAGCTAACAATAAATACATGAAATCTTTTGACCCCCAAAAGCCTTCAACATTTATTCAATATCTTGATGCAAACAATCTTTATGGTTGGGCTATGTCTCAAAATCTTCCGACACATGGATTCAAATGGATGAGAAATATTAAAAAAGATAAAGTTATGGAAATTCTTGAAAAAGCAAATCATAGCATGTCAAATCGAGGAAAAACGGGCTATATTTTTGAAGTTGATCTAGCTTACCCCAAAAAGCTATGGGAATCACACAATGACTATCCTTTAGCTCCTGAAAAGAAGCAAGTTAGCGTTGTAGAAAAACTGATTTGTGATTTCGAACCAAAAAAGAATTATGTTGTTCATTACAGAAATCTTAGGCAATATCTCGAAATGGGATTGAGGATAACTGCGGTTCATAGAGGAATATCTTTTCAACAATCCCCCTGGATGGAACCCTATATAAGAAAGAATACAGAATTGCGTAAAACAGCAACCAACAGTTTTGAGAAAGACTTTTTCAAACTCATGAATAACTCAGTTTTTGGAAAGACAATAGAAAACATTAGAAAAAGACAAAACATAAAACTGGTTGATAATCGTAAAACAGCTTTCAAACTTACAAAAAAGCCTAACTTTGAAAGAGCAACTATTTTTGATAAAAATCTTGTTGCTATTCATATGAAAAAAACAGAGATTTATTTTAACAAACCAGTCTATGTGGGCCAAGCGATCTTAGACTTGTCCAAAACATTAATGTTTGATTTTCACTACAAATATATAAAACCAAAATATGGAAAAAAAGCTGAGCTACTTTTTACAGATACGGATAGTTTAATGTATCAAATTCAAACAGAAGATTTTTATAAAGATATATCAGCTGATATAGAAACCAAGTTTGATACATCTGATTACTCAAAAGATCATCCATCTGGAATTCCAACAGGTTTAAACAAAAAAGTAATTGGAATGTTCAAGGATGAAGTTGCTGGAAAACAAATCACACATTTTATAGGTCTTCGCCCGAAGCTTTACAGCTTTAAAATAGAAGACGGTAAAAACATAAAAAAGTGTAAGGGAATAAAAAAGTCTGTTATATCAAAAGGAATTACATTTGAGCATTATTTTGATTGTTTATTTACAGGGGAGAAACAAATGCGAAGTATGAAAATAATACAAAGTAAGAATCACGATATATATTCCAAAGAGGTTAATAAAATAGCTCTGAGCTGCGATGATGACAAAAGGCTGGTACTAAGCAACAAAGTTAATACTAAAGCAATAAGGCCGAATTAAAAATTAAAAAACTAAAAAATAAATGAGTTACTCAGAAGATCAAATAAAAAAATATTTGGAAATTTTGTATAATTATACTAAAAATTCAACAAACACACCAAAAATGCAATCCCCCCAAGCAGGGGGTAAATGCACTAATTGCGAAAACAGAACGTCTTTTACAATAGATTTTGGTTATAAGATCTGTGAAGAATGTGGAATAACAAACGGGCACGTATTAGGCTACTTTGATCCCAAAGAATATGACAGATTATATTTCAGGAAGAAAAGCATATACCAGCGAAAATACTATTACGAGAAAAAGATAAAACAGATTCCAAATTTGTCAGGAGAAGATAAGAGTTTATTATACAAAAAGTTGATGGAAATAGATGAGAAAGTTATGAAAGATGTAAATAAAAAGTTTAGCCGTAAGAGAATGATCAACATCTTTTATATCATAAATAGAATGTTGGAGGAAATGGGAATAAAAAACAAAATTTCACTTAATATTTCATCTCAAACAAAAGAATATTATGACAAATGGTGGGAAAGTTATCTTGAATTAAGAGTGGGGGGATTGCACCCCCCCAAAGCCCCCCTGCTTTAAATTTTATAATAGTAGTATTATAAAATTAATCAACCCCCCCATGGAAAACCCAGTATAAAATTCCTGTTAAATATCCGATAACCTCATTTTCTTGAAAACGAGAGTCAAAAACATAAACACAGCCTCTTCCAAGTTTGAAGCGATTCCAAAAAGCTTTGAAACCTAAATTGAAAATTAGATGATTAGTCAAAACCCTAGATTTAGTTCTAATAGAATGACTGTCAGCAGATAGTTTGTTAATAATACTATTCAAATCTATTACTCGGCTAAAATACTTTGCGTATAGAAATTGGTAAACAAGACAAGCTTTAATAAAGTTGTCGTCATAAAATTGTGATTTTGCAGTCGGAAAGAGGAAGTTTACGTATGCTACTATTTCCTTCAACATTTTTATATTATGCATGGATAAAAAAAAATGAAGCATAAAGAAATAGTTTGTAAAATTAAAATGGAAAAATTTGTTTTGTATAACGGTAAAAAATATTTTATTCATCCTATTTACAAAAAATACGCTGCAAATGATGAAGGTGAAATTATTCATGTTAAACTGGGAAAACCGAGAAAAGGCAATATTATTAATAGCGGCTACTTCAAAATTACAATTCGTTTGGAAAAAAACAAGACAAAAACATATTTATCTCATCGATTCGTTTTCGAGTGTTTTTTTGGCCTAATAGAAAAAAATAAACAGATCAATCATATAAATTTTATTAGAAATGATAATCGTATAAAAAATTTGGAGATTGTTTCACCAAGCGAAAATAATAAAAAATCAACAGTCAACAAAAATTATACTTTTTTAAAAGATATTCGCAAAAAACCAAAAAGTGTTTTGGCAATAAATTTGATAACAAAAGCTGAATCAAATTTTAAAAGTTTGTACTCTGCTGGAAAAATGCTAGGAATAAATCCAGCTCAGGTTAGAATGATATGCGAGGGTATTAATTATTGTAAATCAGCAAATTCCAAGGTCGATGGCTGTAAATATTCTTTCCGTTACATTTAGATTTCAATATTTTTGGTATTGAAATTAGTTCAGAGATTTAATCTCATCTAGATAGTAGAAACTTTTGACAAATTCCTGGCACTTTTTCTCATCTTCTGCGCTAACTCCCTCCATTTTGGAAATCTTATGGCAAAGGCTAATGGCATAATCAAGACAAATTTGGTCGTCGATGCTATATTTCTGTTCCATTTCCTTTACCAAATCTTTTCCAACAGAAGATAGCGTATTTTCAAAATTTTTTATAAAACTTTTTTTTAAATTTCTCAACTCCTCCATTTATTACTTGCTTAGATTATTTTTTAGTTTTCCCCCTCGTGCTTAGATTATTTTTTTCATCTATCAGTTGGAGGAAAGGCTGTTTTTTCCATTTATCTTGAGAGGAAAGGGGGTTTTGGGGACCCCCATAAACTTCTTGTTATAATTACTAACAAATCTATCCGATAAAGGAGTTTGGTCAATTATCATTTCATCTATCAGTTTCATCCTATCAACAAACTCTTGTTTATCCCATTCATCTCCTCTAAGAGCTGATCTCAGTTCTACCAATACCTTTTCATAAGTGGTATAGGCGATCTTTGACATTTCAATTTTTCTCTGGGCATTTTCTTTCTTTCCAATACCCGCAACAATAATGCCAGCACCATTTATAACTCCTAAGACAACAGGATTAAGAGTTATTCCTCCGGCAATTGTTCCTATAGTTACAAGGCTTATTCCGGTTATAGTTAAAACATTATCAAGAAATTTATAACTTTTGTAACAATTTTTAAAACACCAATATTTTTTGTGATAATGCCTGTAAAAATCTTTTAGAGTTTCAATATCTGATTTTGACAGAGATTTATCAATGTGATTAAACTCAAAGATGTCTTGCATTTTATCCTTCATTTTATCCTTCATTTTATCCTTTGCGTAGATTATGCGGCGTAGCAGCAGGGGGGTTTTGGGGGGAGGCACTCCCCCCACTATAAGACATAACTTCCATTTAACTTTTCTTGAAGCATAACTTTATGATATTGCTCAGAATCAATGTCGTAAAAGTTGGGAGAAAACATTATTTTACTTAACACTCCATCTTGAGTTGAAAACATAAAATTTTGTTCGTTGGTGTATCTAACGGATTGTAAGCTTAAAATAGCGCTGTAGTTACTTATTTTAACTTTTGTAATATTTTGGCTAAAATCTTCTGCTAACCATATAACAATTCTTTTTCCGTTAAAATCACTTGGCATGGCTAATTGACTTCTTTGATTATTAACAACTAAATATAATAAATTACCAACTGAAGAATAACGTAATGTTAATAAAATACTTCCACCATTTGTATCTCTTTTATATAATCCGAATGATCTATTTCTCCAGTGATAAAATATTAAACATAAAGTATATTTTGTAATACCAATATTAGGAGAAAAACTAATATTATAGCCGTTAACATTTAGACCTTCTTTTCTTATATTATCTATGGTTTTAAGAGGTATACCCATATCTCTTAAAGTATCACCACTACTTGAAGATAAATATCTGAAAACAATACCTGATGAGGATCTACTCAATTTGTAATTAGCGGCATTAGTAAAATCATAAAATTCTTCGAAATAATTTCTATAAAGATTGTTTATAGTAAATTTAGTCATTCCAAATATTTGTCCAATTGTAGCAACACTGGATAAATCATTTGGATCAATTTTAATATTTTTAATTGTTTTTTGATTTGCATTAATATCAACATTGTAAACCACTTCTGTTGGTTTGATATCAAATGCGGTGTGATAGTCATACACTTTATCTGGATCGATATTGCTAAATGTTCCCACAATTCCATAAGTAATTATATAAACTCCTGAAAACTGTCTCGGATAAGTAGCCAAGTCAATTCCATCTTGTGGTATATTAACCAAAAAATGAAGAAAGAACCTATTTCCGATTGACAACTTCCGGAAATTAACTATTATTCTATGGTAATACATAAATTCTTGTCGCCCATTTGAATTTGTGTACCTATGAGATAGTTTCCTAATACTAACATTTCCAATTGATAATCCTGTTGAAGTTCCTTTGTCCACGCTTATTTGAGACTTATGCCATAGTTGATAATCAGTGTTGAGTATTTCCATACACAGTGTGTAATCGGTATTAGCAGTTAACCTGTAAAAGTTGATTCCCATTTTGTACTTATATCCCCCTTGGGAATTTTTGTTTATACCCAGAAAAATAACTTTGTGGTTATAATCGTGAAAGTTTCCTTGGTTTGGTGCTAAATCTCCTATTTTTTTTATAACAAAACTGGTTCCGTTATCTATTTCATCCGTCCATTGAGACCCACTTGACATGAGATAAGCAAACTGGTCGTTGTAATGACTTGGTTGAACTGCAGTGTGATTAACTAGTTTGTCAGCGTAATCTTTATTTACTGCGTCATTGTCTTGGGTTGGTTTACTAAGATTTATTATTTTATTATTACCAACATTAAGATTCCCAGTCATAGCAACGGTACCATCTTTTTCTAAATAATCGCTTAAATCTGGTTCACCTGTGTTATCATCCACATACTTTTTGGTTGCGGCGTCTGTGTTTGATGTTGGAGTTGCGAGACCAACTATTTTTTTGTTTCCAAGATTTAGGTTATTAGTCATTGATACACTTCCATCTTTTTTTATAAAAGAACTAGTATCAGGTATTGAGTCATCCACATACTTTTTGGTTGCGCCGTCAGTGTCTGATGTTGGTGGTCTAAGGTTAACTATTTTTTTATTATCCATGTTTAAATTATTAGTCATTGTAGATGAACCATCACGGGCAACATACTTTAAATCTGTAAAAGCTAATGGTGTTGGTTGATTACTTCCATTTGGGGCTGGCAGATTAAATATTCGATTATTTGCCATATTGATATTACCTTTCATTGGGTAAGATCCATCTCTATCAAGAAATGTATTGTCTACATACTCTTTTGTAGGAGGTTCTTTCCCATCCAGTGGTGTGCTAAGATTTGTAATTCGGTATTGATCTCCCATATTAAGGTTAGAATCAACTGTTAGCCTTGAAGTAGGCACTGATTCGCTTGATTTATCATCCACATACTTTTTGGTTGCTGCGTCATCATTGGCTGTTGGCGCACCAAGTTTAACTATTTTATTATTATTCATACTCAAATTTCCAATCATTGTGTATGAACCATTTCTGTCGAGAAATTTGCTGTCTGAGTATTGTTTTGTTGCTGGTTCATCTCCGTCAACTGGATGTTGGAGGTTCAAAATACGGAATCGTCTTTTCATATCAATGTTTGAATCAACTGTTAATCGTGTTGTCGAGGGTGATCCACCAGAATTATCATCAACATACTTCTTTGTAGCAGCATCAGTATTAGCACTCGGTGCTCCAACATTTGTTAGTCTTTTTTTA